ATAGGCTCCTAATACCCCCCACACCCTGTCCCGATTTTTCACACTTGCTGTCTGGACACCCTCCCCCCGCACATCGATTTCCCGTTGTAAATCCGGGTTCCGTTCTCCGTGTAAATGCAACTTCACAATTCACGCTCCGGTCAGCCACGAGGGGGCAGGACCACCCCACTGGTGCCGCTCTCCTAGGGCTGGGCTTTGGGTGGGGCCCTGCTCGGGGCTGTGATTATATTTTTCCTGCCCCTCGTTAATGGTCGAACCGTTTTCATCAGAGATTTTCCACATTTGGAAATGAAAAGAGGAGGATCCCCCCCCCCACCACCCACCCCCGATGCCTGATTCCCTTCTCACTGACCCAGCGTAACTCCCCGGGCGCCGATTCCCGTCTGCCTGACTCCGGTGTAAATCAGGGGTGCGGGGTGGCGCTGATGGGGGCCATGTCTCTGGCAAGGCAAGGGGGGCGCGGTGTGCTGGGGGGGATCTGCAGGTGGTGTGTAAAAACCAGAGAGCGGGTCTCCCCCACAGAACCACCTGGCTGCACACAATGGGGTCGGGGCTGCAGGTAGTAACAGGACATTGACAGTGTGAATCCCCCCACCCCCAAAAACACATGCACGCACACACACACACAAAACTACTTCCAGCTAGTCCCACCAGAACATGCACACACAAAGCACAGAACACATGCACACAGACCCACACAACATGCACATACAAAACACATACACAAACAAAACACATGCATAACATGCATACACAAACACAACATGCACACATAACACACAAAAAATATGCACACACAAAATATGCACACGCAAAACATACATAATATGCAAATACAGCACATGGCCATACAAACCACATGCACACAAACCACAGCACAAGGACAGATGCACACACAACACATGTGCGCACTTACACACACACTGCTCAGCCTCTTCAGAAGCAGTGGATCCACACACACCCCGCCCTGGCTGCTTGCTGTTTTCTTTTAATAAGCTGAGGCTTGTCCTGGCCTAACCCACAGCTGTTTTCCAAAGTGAGGGTGGCCCTTCTCCCCACTGGGGCCTGCATCTGCCGGCACTGGGGTGGGTGCGTGGGGGTGGCATGGAAGGGCTGGGCTGCCCTTTCCCCCCACACGTGTGTTTCACATCCAGACGGGGCTCTTGAAAACTGTAACTATTGGGGCCGAAAATCCAGAGAACGGGGTCTAAAGGGAACGAATGATGGAGCTGTGGCTAACGCACAGGACTCCTCGGTTCTGTCCCCAGCTCTGGGAGGGGAGTGGGGTCTAGTGGTTAGAGCAGGGGGCTGGGAACCAGGATTCCTACCTCTGACTATCCGTGTGTCCTTGGACAAGACCCCCTTTCCCCTTCTCTGTGTGTCATTTTCTCCTCCAACCCTGCGTCCTTTATCTGGGGGTCAGGGCCCGTGTGTGCCCAGGGCCATGACTGAGCAAGGCTGGGAACGTGGCCGAGCTGGAGGGGACTCAGCGGGGTGAAAGGGACCAGAGGTGCCTCTTGGCTTTAGCTTCCATCCCCCGCTGGCCCCAAGGGAGGCGCTGGCAGGGTCCTGGGGTGGGGATGGAGCGTTTGGAACCCCTCCCCCCCCCGACACACACACACACTTTCCGCTGCATGGACACCCCTGCACTCCCCACCGGCCCAGCCCTCCCGTCTTTCCCAAGCCACGCTGAGGAATGCAAGTTTCCCTTGGCCAGGGCTCCTGGGTCCTGGCAGCCACCCAGGGGGGTGAGTCACCGGCCAGAGACGCGCGCTCCACCCTGTAGTGCAAAGGTGAGGAGGGAGCTGAATACACACACACACCCCCGGGAACACTGCCTGTGCCGGACAGTCTGTTCCCGGGGCGGCTCCTCATCATCGGGGCTGCAGGCTCGTCCGTCCCCCAGCCCAGCCTCATCCCGCTCCTGCCCAGGGGTCTCCACACTGCCCAGGGGATGGCAGATCGGGAGCCGGGGAGCAGCCTCCCACCCCCCAACTAGCTCCTGGGGACCCCACCTGGGGGCTGAGAATCTGCCCACAATGCACAGCCGCCCCCCTCGCCCCCCCATCCTCCCCCTCTGCCAGGGGGTTCGGATCAGTGAGGGGGGAGGCAGGATACCAGGGTGGATGGGCCCAGTGGTGGCAGGGACGGGGAGGGGGAGGAAGTGGGGGGCGGGAATGCCGGGCAAGGCAGGCCACTGGACTGATCGGGGTGAGGGGGGTACCTGGCTGACGGGCCCCAGGGCTGGCACAGGACAGCAGGATCCAGAAGCAGAGGGCCAGGCCGCGGGCTGCTAGCCCCACTCCGATTCCACGTGGCGGCCGGCTCCGGGGCCAAGCATCAGGGGCCACGTCAGTGGGTAAATGCGAGATCTCTTTATTGCAGAAGGACCGATATCAATACAGCCCCGGGGGCAGAGGAGACGACGCACAGAGAGTCCTGGAGCCCGGCTCGCACACACCGAGGGGGAAAGACCTCCTGGGGCTTCAGCTGGGCTCAGGCCGCGCATTCCCCGCAATGGGCCAAGGCCAGGTCCCAGCCGTATCTGACCCTAGATCCGGAGGGACTGTAACGACCGAGGCTGGGAGAGAGACGGGGCTTGCAGGGGGAGCCCCCCAACCTGGTCACCTGACCAGCGCTGCATTAGCCCCCCCCATCCCTCCGACCACTATCCTGCCCCTGGGATGGGGAACCGAGGGCCTGAATCTCAGTTGCCCCATCCGAGCACTTGGGGATGGGATGGCCGGGGGGCAGCTGGTGTAAAATAGAGCGGCCTCAGGGCTGCTGTGACCCATGCTCTGCCCCCAATAGGCCCTGGTTAAACCGCAGAGTAAATGAGCGTTTTGCCATAACAATACCAAGGGGCTGCCCCCCCCAGCGCATGGTGGGGAGCAGTGGGGTGTGTCGGGGGCATGAAGCGCAGGGTGGCTAGTCTGATACACGGGGTCAATATACACAAAGCATCTGGCTGGAGGGGAAATTCCCCCCCGGATACGAGTCACAGACCCACTTCCTGGATGGGTCTGAATGGGCCCGATCGGGCTCAGAGGGGGCGGCTGGCCCCTTGAAGCGTGAGTGGATTGCATGGTTGGTACAGTGTGGGGTGCAGTGCCGCCTGCTACCACTAGGGCGGGGGCGTCCAGCGGGGCTGCAGTCCCCTCAGTGTGTAATACCCCAGGCTGCCACCAGGGGGCAGGCGGGCTGCAGGGCCATACAGGGATATGTGGGGCTAATTGGCAGGCCCTGCCCCCTGCTGGTGGAGGGGTTGTTACCTGCAGCCCTCCCGGCTGTTCCGGGAACTGGGCTCAGACCCCCACAAACCCCTAGGGTAGCTTTGCCCCAGGCCACCCTCAGGGCTGGATCTGGGTCCAAGGGGCCTGATGCCGGCCCCTGCCTGGCACCACGGATCGCAGGCGGGACATGGGCACGGAGGACGCCAGGGGCCAGCGCCAGGGTATGACTTGCACTAACCCAGCCTGGCTCTTTGTCCCCCCCAAGTGGCGGGTCGGGGGAGAGCGGCTCGTGGCTTGCAGGCCCTGGATTCGATCCCCACCCACCAGCGTGGCTGGTGCCTCGGGGATCGGGGAGCACGGCAAGTCCCCCCCCCTCCCACTTTAACATGGCGACTGCCCCGGGGCCCGTCAAGTCTCCCCCCAAATGACCTGGGGCAGCTGGAGGTCCGGGCAGGGTCCAGCTCGCGGCCTCTCTCTTCTCTCCTGGTGGACAGGCCACGTGGTGTGTGTCTTGGGGGGATCCGGGGCTGGCAGCCCCCCGCTGGCCCCGCTTCGTGCCCCGGTGGCAGGACGGAGACGGTGAAGGTATCCCAGGGCGGCTGGCTGGGGAGGCCTGATCCTGCATCGATGAGGGTCCTAAATTACTCCCTCGCCGGGTGGGGGTGAGGCTGGTTCGCTGACGCTGGAGAGGGGGGGGATTGGGGTCGCCCGGAGCAGTTCAGCCTGGCATGGAGGGTGTGGGGGGATCAGGGTCTCTCGGAGCAGTTCAGCCTGGCACGGGGGCGGGGGGAGCGAGAACCCGGGCCCGTTACTCGGCTGAGCCCTTCTGCCTCCTCTTGGAGGGGGGCACCAGGTGGCGGGGCAGGTCGGCGGGCAAGCCGTGCCCCTCCAGCTTGACCTCGATGAGGTGGCTGGCCAGGGCGAACTCCTCGTCATCCAGCATGCCGTCCCGGTCCACGTCGCTCAGCTTCCAGATCTTGCCGAGCACCGAGTTGGGCAGCTTGGTGGCCACCATCCAGCTCTTGGCCTTGGTGCCGCTCAGCTTCCCGTCCAGGGGCGAGAGGTTGTAGAAGATCTCGTCGTACTTGGGCTTGTCCTTGGTCACCACCCAGTCCTCGTCGTCCGCCCCCTCGTAGGCGCCGTCGGCCAGGCCCTCCACGAAGGGGCCGTTGTGGGTGATGTCGAAGGCCCCCCCCTGCACCGCGCCCTCCGGCGTCTCCAACTCCTCCTGCCGCAGCAGGGGCATCAGCCGGGCGATGTCGCCCGTCAGCATCTCGTCCAGCCCCTCCAGCAGCCGCGGCTTCAGCGCGTGGAACTTGGTGAAGTCGTGAACCATCAGCAGCTCCTGGGGGGGGGGGGGGGGGGGCGGTCAGCAATGAGGGGAGCACGGGCCAGTCCGGCCTGGCACCCCCTCCCCACGGCCCAGTATAGCCTGGCCCACCCCCCACAGCCCAGTCCGGCCAGGCCCCACCCCCCACGGCCCAGTCCAACCGGGACCCCTCCCCATGGCCCAGTATAGCCTGGCCCCCTCCCCACGGCCCAGTCCAGCCGGGCCCCCTCCCCACAGCCCAGTATAGCCTGGCCCCCTCCCCACGGCCCAGTCCGGCCAGGCCCCACCCCCCACGGCCCAGTATAGCCTGGCCCCCTCCCCACGGCCCAGTCCGGCCTGGCCCTGTCCCTCCCCTACACCTAACTTGGCCCAGCCCCACCCCCTGTCCCCACGGCGGGGAGCAGCCTGCAGGAGCCAGGCCCGGCTCTCACCTGCATCTTGCCGCAGTCGGGGAAGTCGCCGGGCGAGATGTGATGCTCCAGCTGGATCTTGGCGAAGATGACGGGCAGCTTGGCGATCAGGTGCTTCTTCTTGTTGTCCTTCCCGAACACCGAGGGCATCTCCTTCTTCAGGTGGCTGATGATGTGGGCGTGGACCTGGGGGGGCCGAGGGGGCGTCAGCCAGAGACTGGGGGGCGGGGACCCACCTGCAGAGGCTGCCCCCAGAGCGAGCAGGTATGCCCCCCCCCCACGGTGCCAAACACAGCTCCCGCCCCTGCTGCTCGGAGCCACTGGGTTTGCTGGCGGAGCTGTCAATTATCCAGACCCCTTCCCCCTCCTCCACCTAGCATGGCCCTCCCCCACCCTATCTTCCTCCCCTCCCCCATGGCCCAGCATCACCCTCCCCCACACTGCCCAGCCTGGCCCAGCATCGCCCCCCCCAGCCCCGGTGGGCCGCGCCAGCTCCCGGTCAGCAGCTCTTCCTGCGCCCCCCCCGCAGTGACCCAGAGCTCCGCTCCCTCGGCTTCCGCAGGAAGGATCCGTCTGGGGCAGTTGGGCAGGGCAGGGCAGAGGAGCTCGCTCCAGTCCCCACCCTCACACCGGGACGGGCCCCCCAGCCCTGGGCTAATGCCGCCCGGCTCCCAACATGGCCCGGGACATTGGCCTGGGAGCCAGGACTCCTGGGTTCTAGCCTCGGCTCTGGGAGGGGAGGGGAAGTGAGGGGAGGGGAGGGGGGTCTAGTGGTTAGAGCAGGGGGCCTGGGAGCCAGGACTCCTGGGTTCTAGCCCCGGCTCTGGGAGGGGAGGGGGGTCTAGTGGTTAGAGCAGGGGGGCTGGGAGCAGGACTCCTGGGTTCTCTCTCCGGCTTTGGGAGGGGGGGTCTAGTAACAATCAGGGGGGCTGAGGAGGTGATTTATAAGGAAAGATTTAACAACCCAAATCCAGCTAAAATACACCGGGGGGGGGACTATGGGCCCCTGCTGCAGCCCCCCTGAGGGAGTTTAGCCCCTGAGCTCTTGGGGGCTGGGGCTCTCTGTCCCTGCCTTCCTCCAGCACTGGCCCTGCCCTGCTAGGACCACATCCCGCCTGCCCTTCCCCGCTGCCCCCAGCCGCGCGCCAGCCCTGGCTCCATGGACCGGGCCCTGCCCTGCCTTTCCCCGCTGCCCCCAGCCGTGCGCCAGCCCTGAGACGTCAGGGAATTTGCTGCCTCATGTCCCCCGGTGCTGCGCTTCGCGGCCTTCCCTCTGTGGAGAAAGAGGGGCTCAGGAAAATCTGCACCCCAAAGCCTTGGGTGGGCTTTGGGGGCTGGGTGAACGCTAGGCGGGAAGGGGGCCGCAGACAGCTGCTCTGGGAGTAAACCCTGGCTGAATGTTGCCCCTTGATCCTCCCAGGGTGAGGACGGGCACCGCAGGTCCCGCCGGCACAGATGGCAGCTGAACCCATGTGTTTTAGTGGTTAGGAGCACGGGGCTGGGGCTCAGGACTCCTGGGTTCTCGTCCTGCCTCTGCTGGGCCACCTTGGGCCAGTCACTGCCCCGCTCTGGGCCTCGGTTTTTGTTGAGTTAAAGTGTGAGCGCCTGGCACAATGGGGGGCCGGATCTCGGTCGGGGTGTGGGCAGCGCCCGGCACCACAGGGCCCCAACTTACTGTGACCTTAAGAAAGCGACTCAGCGCCTTTGTGCCTCAGTTTCCCCTCTGCATTAAGGCTCTGGCCCAGACGCCAACGTCGTGGGGGCATGGGGCAGATGAACGTCTCCGCTCGATTGCGACGCCGGGGCCGGGGCCAAGGGGCGGGCGTCCGGGCTCCGTGACCCAGGCGGTTGTTGGCAGCCGGCTGTGGAAAGTGCTCAGCGGCTGTTCCATGGACGTTCTGTTCCCTGGCTCCGGCCGCGGCCGGGAGGAAATTGCCACTCGGGAGCCCGGGCCGCACAAAGGGCCCCGGGGAGCCGGCGCAGCAGGTGGCAGGAAAAGATAAGGCCGCGCGGGAGGGAAAGAGGCCGCGAAAGCCAATCTGGCGCTTCCTCTTGGGCCAATGGAGGAGCCTCATTAACACTCCCCCACGTCACTGGGGGCTCGGGGAGAGGAACCTGCGTTACTGAAGGGGCCGCGCCCTCGGGGGTGGGGGTGTTGCTTTCCAAAAGTCTGTTAGAATAGGGAACGGGGGGCAGGGTATGAGACCTGGGGCCTCTCCCCTCTAAAGGGTGCGGGCTCTGATCTGGCTCCAGGGCAGGGGCCTTTCCCCTCTAGGGGGCGCTGGCCCTGATCCGGTCGAGGGGCTGGGGCCGGAGAACCAGGGCAGGGGCCTTTCCCCTCTAGGGGGCGCTGGCCCTGATCCCGCCGCGGGGCTGGGGCCGGAGAATTGGGGCCTTTCCCCTCTAGGGGGCTCTGGCCCTGATCCAGCCATGGGGCTGGGGCCGGAGAGCCAGGAGCCGGGGCTGGAAGTTCGCCGTGCCCGGGGGCGGTGGCTCTGAGTGTGGCCAGCCCAACTCCCGCCAGCAAACGAGTCACCCAGGGGCTGCCCCCTCCCCAGCCTGGCTGAAGCAGAAGACATTGTGGGGGGCGAGGGGGCTGTGGGCGGCTGCCCGCTCACTGGTGTGCCCCCAGGGCAGGGCACGGCTGGAATCCGGCTGCCAGGACTGGGTGGGGCTGGGACGGGATGGGGGGCCGGGTCGCTCAGAGCTCCCTGCCCAGCCCAGCCTCCCCCGGCCCCACATACCCTGGCGAGGGGGGCTCCCCCTTCAGGCACAGGGCCAGGGACCAGCCCTGCCCCTGCCAGGTGCTAAGGTGGGCGCCCCGCCCCCGCCGCGTCTGCTCAAGTGTGGGGGGCAGCAGCAGGGGGTTGGGAAACCAAGGCCTGGGCTTGTGGGGGTGTCAGTGCCCCCCCCAAAATGGAGGCACCCGTCGTTAGAGGCTGTTTTAGGGGATCTGGATAGAGGCATTTCTCAGGCTGGGGGGCCCTGTTGCGCAGGAGGGGGTCCCCGTTTCTCAGGCTGGGGGGCCCTGTTGCTCGGGAGGGGGTCCCCGTTTCTCAGGCTGGGGGGCCCTGTTGCTCGGGAGGGGGTCCCCGTTTCTTAGGCTGGGGGGCAGGGAGGACTGTTACTCGATCACAGCTGCGGAAGGCTCTGCCGCATGGGAAACCCTTAACGAGGAAACCATGCGCAGGATGCAGGGGTGGGGGGCTTGCAAACCCCGTAACGCCCCCCCCCCCCCGGGGGGGAGCCCTGTTCTGGGCGGGGAAGACCGCCAAGTTTGGGGGGGGGGGTCTGGAGCCATCTGCTGCCTAAGAGTCACAGCCCTGAAATTATATGGGGGGCTGTAGGAAACAGCCCCAAAAGCTGCCCTCAGAGACTCCCCCCAAACTCAGGGGGTGCCGGGCCCCAATGGGCAGGAGACCCACCAGCTAACAGAGAATGTGAGACCTCACCCCGCAGCCAAGGGGTCTCTAATCACTAGCCCTCCCCTCCCTGGGAACAGAACCCAGGAGTCCTGGTTCCCAGCCCCTGCTCTAACCACCAGACCCCCCTCCCCACGCCACGCCAAGCCAGGCCAGGCCAAGGATAGAACCCAGGAGTCCTGGGTGGCCAGGGGCTCCTTGCTCCCTCACCTTGCTCCCCCTGCCCCCTCAGTCCCCCTGTCTCTCTTGGTGCCCCCCACTCACCCCACTAGAACTCCCCTCCCTCCCCCCTCAGTCCCCCCACCTGCCTAGATCCCCCTGCCCCCCTCAGCGCCCTCCACCGACGACCCCAGAGCCCCTTTCCACTCCCCTCGGTCCCCCTGCCCACCTAGATACCCTGCCCCCCTCAGTGCTCCCCACACAGCTCCCCAGAGCCCCTTTCCATGCCCCTGGTCCCCCTGCCCGCCTAGGTCCCATTGTCCCTCTCAGTGCCCCCCCCCTCGGTCCCCCCACTCACCCTGACGAGCCGGGCTCTCTTGACGAGGTCGTTGAGCTTGCGGAGGGCCGAGTTGCGGGGCAGGTTCTGGATGTCCTGGAACAAGTCCTGCTCCTCCAGCTCGAAGAGCCGCCGGTTGTCGGAGACGAGCAGCGGCTCGGCCCAGAAGGAGCCAATGAAGACACGCAGCACCTCGGGGGTGTTGAACACCTTCCCCAGGGACCACATGAGGGCCCCATAGACCCGCATCAGCTGCTGCGTATCCACCATGTCGGCCTTGTTCAGGACCACCCGGATCTTGTCCTCGTTGCCCTTCAGGGCTCGGATGGCCTCCGAGAACTCGTCCGAGATCTCCAGCTTGTGGGCGTCGAAGAGCAGGATGATACGGTCCACGCGCTCCGCGAACCACTGCAGCACGGCCGGGAAGTCGTAGCCTGCGGGGCGGGGGACAGGCCGTCAGGGCATGGCAGGTGCGGGGCCCAGCGGGCGGGGCCCTGCCCTGCGCCCCACGCCCGCCTTGGCCCCCTGCCCGCCCCACTCCCCAGACCCTGTGCCCCATGCCCACCGTGCCCCCTACTCTTCAGCTGTTGCCCCATGCCCGCCCTGCCCCTGTGCCTCATGCCCACCCTGCTCCCCACTCCCCAGGCCTGTGCCCCACGCCCACCCTGCCCCCTTTTCCCCAGCCCCTGCACCCCATGCCCAGCACAGCCCTGCCCCTTCACTCCCCAGCCCCTGTGCCCCACACCCGCCCTGCCAGGGCATGGGGCCTTCCCTGCAGAGGGCACCGGGTGCCCGTGGACCTGGCTGCCAGGTGTGGAGTCCCTATGCAGCAAGTTCCTGCCTCGACCCCTTCCACTGGTGCTGGTGCTGGCCCCAGAGGAATAGCTCGTGGCTTGAGAAAGGGAAAGGGGGCCTCTGCCTCCCCCCAACAGACCCCCTCCCCCACCCTCTGCTCCTCCCCCAGTGTACCCCCACCCTGCCCCCCTCACTCTCCACTGCCTCCCATTGAGATCAGAGCCCCGTCGCGCCAGGCGCTGCCCAGACCCCAGCTGAGATCAGAGCCCCGTCGTGCCGGGTGCCACCCAGACCCCGGCCGAGATTGGGACCCCATTGTGCCAGGGACTGCCCAGACCCCAGCTGAGATCAGGGCCCCGTCGCACCGGGTGCTGCCCAGACCCCGACCGAGATCAGGGTCCCCTGTATTGGGGGGGGGGCCCTCAGGGGCTGAGGGAAGAGACGTCTCATTACCCCCCCCCCCAGCAACCCTAACAGCCTCGCTGAGGAGCGCTGCTGGAGCCCAGCCGATCCTGCCCCCCCTCCCGCCCTCCCACTTGGCAGCCCAAGGCGGCAAGTGTCTGCAAAGCACCAAAAAAGGAAGGCTTGAGGCTGAGCAGAGGAAAGTCTGAGCCAGCCGGGGCCCAGCTGGACCGGACGGGGCTGCTGCAAAACCTGGGAAAGGTTGGGGTGGGGAGGCCTGGCCTCCCATGCCAGGGGGAATCAGCGAAACCAATGACCCAGCCCGCTGCCCGGGCGAGGGGCTCTGCCCTGCTGCAGCCCCTCCTCTGTCGCCTGGCTTCTCTGGGGGGCAGGGAGCAGGAGCCGGCCCCACTGGCTGCAGTGACGGGGTGGGGGGGAGAATCGGGTCCTGCGAACTCCTCCGTCCCCTGCTGTTTACACAAGCAGGGAGGGAGCCAACGAGTTTCCAGGCCTGGCGCCCGGCCCTCCCTGGAAAATGGAGCCGGGGGCTCCCGGTGACGGATGCCGTTGCGGCGCTGAACGGAGGCTGAGCTGGGATGGGGAAGGGGAGGCTGGGCCCGGAGCTGAGCTGTGGGTCCAGCCCAGCTGGGATTTGGGGGATTCTCTAGAGAGGGAGGGGGGCCCGAGGGGCAGGAACAGCAGCTGGACCAGACCCTGTGCCCACCCGACAGCCGCACTGGCCTTTCCCCCGTGCCAGCTTGCCGCGGTGTATTGGATCTCACGAGCTACAGGGTTCGCCTTCGCTTGCGGGCCTGGAGCAGGGTGTGGTGGGTTATGGTGCACTGTCTGAACAGGCCCCGTACCCCACCCCAGAGGTGGCTGCGTCTCAGCGCTGGGTGAGGGATCCCTGGATAAGCAGCTGCCATGCAGCTCAGGCCTGGCTGGAAGCCGGCCCTGGGAGCAGGGCCATCAATCACCCCTGTGGGAAACAGCCTGAGCGCCGGATGGTGCCAGCTCGCGGCGGGAATTTCCTCTGCACTCTGCCCCGTTCGGCTCAATCCCCGGGCAGCCCAGCTGGGCGGTTGCTGCGTCTCGGCGACGGGGTTCACCAGGGGACGGGGCTCTGGGCTCCCATTGCCTCAGGATCTCCTCCTTCCCCCCAAAAAACAGCACCCATGAACTGCCACTGGCTACCTGCAACTGGGGTCTAGTGGTTAGAGCGGGGAGGGGCAGCTGGGAGCCAGGACTCCTGGGTTCTGTCCCCGGCTCTGGGAGGGGAGTGGGATCTAGTGGTTAGAGCAGGGGCCTGGGAGCCAGGACTCCTGGGTTCAATCCCCAGCTCTGGGAGGAGAGTGGGATCTAGTGGTTAGAGTGGGGGGAGGGGAGCAAGGACTCCTGGTTTCAGACAGTGATTCGCTGAATGGCCTTCAGCAAGTCCCTGCCCCCCTCTCTGTGCCTCAGTTTCTCCAATTGTGAAGCAGGGAGAGAACCACACTGATTGGCCTCACAGGGGTCAACTTGGCCATAGGTTTTCACTAGCGATGCTCCCGGTGCCCCCCTGTCAAAGCAGGTTGTGCTGTTCCCATTCACACGCGCTGTCGCCCGCCTCCCCCACGATCACACCCCCAGGACGTACGCCCTGCCCCCGCTGCGCTCCCCTCTGCTGCCACAGCTCCGCTGGCAGGACGGGCATGATTTCTCAGCGTGTTGTGACCCATCCCGTTGCTATGGGGCTCAGCTGGTCCTGCCCACGGAAACCTCCCTGCCCCGGCTTATCACCCGCTTTATTTTAACAGCTTCTTCCTCCATTTGTCCTGGCCCTGCTGGCTGCTGGGGGATTTCAGATCCTGCCCTGCTCCCAGAAACAGCACGTGCCAGGGACCTGGCCTGAACTGAACTGCCCCGTTGGGCATTTCCTGGGTCCAGTCCCAGGGCCGGCTGCAACGCCTGCTCGTGGGGACACACAGCTGCACAAGCAACCCTACAATAACAGACCAGTGTAGCGGTGCAGGATTCACAAGTGACCCTACAATAACAAACCAGTGTGATCAACCTGTGCCACCTCCCAGTGCCCCGACGGCCACAACCCGGCCCGCGCCACCTCCCAGCGCCCCGACGGCCACGACCCGGCCCGCGCCGCCTCCCAGCGCCCCGACGGCCACGACCTGGCCCGCGCCGCCTCCCAGCGCCCCGACGGCCATGGACCGGCCCGCGCCGCCTCCCAGCGCCCCGACGGCCATGGACCGGCCCGCGCCGCCTCCCAGCGCCCCGACGGCCA